ATTAATTTAAAGTACAAGTCTTGTTGCCTTTTTCTATTTCTTTATTTACATGTCCACATACTGTAATTTGCATTCTTGTCTTTTACATTGATGAAAAATAAAATTTTAAAATTAAAAAAAAAGAATATTACCTACATACTCAACAAAAATGTACTGGCTGAATGAAGAGAATTCGCTAACAGTTGCACCCCTGACCATATTATAAAACTCAAACTCCTTCCAGTGGCTTCCAAAGCTCTAGGGCCACAAATGGAAACACAAAAATTTACCTCTGACACAGATTCATACAGTTAAGTTTCCAAATTTCTTGCCCCTAATTCGTGTTTCATTGACTCTTATTGCTTATACGTTATTATACGTATTGCTTATACTTGCAGGGGCTTCCAAAGCTCCAGGACCAGGTGATCGACCTCCCGCCCACTTCTGCCACCTCCCCCATCTCCCTCCAGCCACGCTGTGCTTTCCTCAGTTAGAGGAACGCACCAAGCTTCCAGGCCTTTGCACCTGCCCCTCCCTATACCTGCAGTGCTCTTCCAGCGCACCGTCACAGGCCTGTACCTTCCGGTTAAGTAGCCCCCACCCCCCACAACCGCGGTTCTGGATTCTACCCTGGCACAACGACCCTCCCCCTTCGTACCTGGCGCGCCTACAGAACCCAAGCAGCAACCGCGACCAAGCCTCTGCCACTCGGTTGACCTCTGACCTGTTAGTGCCCGCTCTGAGAGCCGCTTCCGGTAGTGGAAGTTCAACTTCCTGACTAGGAGCCAATCAGCGGGTTCGCGTCGCGGTATAGGAGTAGGGGGTGGCCCAGGAGCTCCTTTTCCGGTGGCAGGGTCTGGGGAAGGGGCGGCGGCGCCATGTCCGGCCGTGAAGGTAAGTGTGCCGGGACGGCGGGGAACGCGGGGCGGGGGCCGGGCGGCGGGGACAGGCCAACCGTGTTCGTGTCGCCCACAGGTGGCAAGAAAAAGCCCCTGAAACAGCCCAAGAAGCAGGCCAAGGAGATGGACGAGGTGAGGGCGGGCGCGGAGGTGGGGGCAGGCGCGGAGGGACTGAGAAATCAGTCTAGAGTGAACCCGCTCTGCCTCTCTCTAGGAAGATAAGGCGTTCAAGCAGAAACAAAAAGAGGAGCAGAAGAAACTCGAGGAGCTAAAAGCGAAGGCCGCGGGGAAGGGCCCTCTGGGTAAGTAGGGGCTGAACGGCGCTCAAGCCAGACAAATTCCCTGTTGTGCACCTGTTGCGATGAGGGCCCGGACGTGTCTCTTTCCTACTCGTTGGTGAACTTCGAGGTCTCAGGTCCTGGAGTCTACTGCGGTGGACAGCCCTGGACAGTCTTGGAGTTGCAGCAGTGGGAAGGGGCAAGAGCCAGAACCAGGACTGGAAACGAAGTCTCCTCTCTCTTAGGCAGTCTGGGATTCCACTCGTTAGGGAAACTGCAGAAATGGAAACAAAAAAATTTGTCTCTGACGCAGTTTCATACAGTTAAATTTCTAAATATCTTCCACAGTTCGTTGCCCCAAATTCGTGTTTCACTGCGTCTTATTGCTTACATATTATTTGACTTACAACTTTTCTAATTTGCTGCTCATATTGTCTCTGGTAAATGCTGTTGCATCCTGAGTCTTTTTACTTCTGGGTGTGCCTCGACTAAAAGACAAAGTCCAGGCTCCTTGGCATCCATATACAGTTATAAACTAACCCCTTTGCATCTTCTTTTCCTTTATGTAAGAGAAATTGATTACATTTCAAAAGATTTTTCAAGCCCAGCAATCCTAATACTTTATATACTTCCTAAATGCTTTACATTTGTCAGACTAGTGATTATTTTCTCTACAGTTGCCTATGCCTTGTTTGAGCATTGTGGGCCACACTGAGCATGGTGAGAGTGTCATCCAGGGTTTCTCAAGACCCCTCTCCCAGTGGGTTTAATCCATTATTGTTTACCCACATGGCACTGCCATTCTAGCTATTGAGATTCCTTTGGGGAATGATGTGAGGTATCTTGCACCTTCCCTTAATCTGTGATTATGTACAGGGAAAAGATCATTCCTTAGTGAAGACCTCCCATACTACTAGTTTCTTATTGAGCGTCATCTAATATTTTAAGGTTCATTTTGTCACAGTTCTTCTGGATATTCATTCTTCTTTTAAGCATACTTTACAGCTATTTCTTTTTTTTTTTTTTTTTTTAATTTCAGAGTATTACGGGGGCACAAATGTTTTGGTTACATAAATCGCTTTTGTACAGTTTGAGTCAAAGTTATAAGTGTGCCCATCACCCAGACAGTATGCACTGTACCCATTCATTCGGTGTGAATTTACTCATCCCCTCCTCCCACCTGCTTGATTTCCAATAAGTTTTATTTCCATATGTACACATAAGTATTGTTCGATTATTTCCAATTTAATGGCGAGTATATGTAGTGTTTGTTTTTCCATTCTTGTGACACTTCACTTAGAATAATGGTCTCCAGTTCCATCCAGGTTAATACAAGAGGTATTAGTTCACCATTTTTTTTAAGGCTGAGTAGTCCTCCATGGTATATGTATACCACATTTTATTAATCCACTGATAAACTGGTGGGCACTTGGGTTGTTTCCACATCTTTGCAGTCATGAATTGTGCTGCTATAAACATTCAGGTATAGGTGGCTTTTTTATAAAATGTCCTTTTTTTCCTTCAGGTAAATACCAAGTAGTGGGATTGCTGGTAGGTCTATTTTTAGTTCTTAGAGGTATCGCCATACTACTTTCCATAGAGGTTGTACTAGTTTGCAGTCCTTCCAACAGTGTTTAAGTGTTCCTGTCTCTCCACATCCACGCCAGCATTTGTTGTATTGGGATTTTTTTGATAAAAACCATTCTCACTGAGTTAGGTGATATCTCATTGTGGTTTTCATTTGCACTTACCTGATGATTGGAGACATTGAGCATTTTTTCATGTTTCTTGGTCATTAGTCTATCTTCTTATGAAAAGTTTCTGTTCATGTCTTTTGCCCACTTATTTACAGCTATTTCTTAAATTACCTATTGGGTATATACTGGTATTTGTAAGTTGGGTAAAATAAAGGTATTGAGTAAAATAAAGATATTGAATAAAGCAGATGCCAGGATCATAATATGGAAGGTAGTGTAGTGTAATGTGGCAGTTAAGAATATCGACTTTGTAGTCAGACCGTCGATGTTGGAATCCTGGCTCATCACATACCAGCTTATAACCTTGAACAGCTAAGACTTCCTTATCAGTAAAATGGGTTGATAAGCCATGAAGTTTAAATGAGCTAATCTGTGAAGTGCACAAGTGTAGATCCAGACCAGTGCACAGCCATTGCTTGTGCCCTTGCTTCATCCTCATTCTACCTTTCCCCAGAATAGACAAGATCAGTGAAGCTGCAGTGCACACCTGTGTCAAAGCAGGTATCTAGTAGAAAAGCCAAGCCTTGGAGAGAGAGTGAGGCAGTGAAAAAAAAAAAGAAAGAAAGAAAAAGAAAAGAAAAGCCAAGCCTTACTAGGATCCACATCAGGCCTGTGCGGCTTCTACCATAAGAACTGTATTTTTCCCTAACTATGACTTTTTTTTTTCCTTTTGCAGCTACAGGTGGAATTAAGAAATCTGGCAAAAAGTAAGCTGTTCCTTGTGCCTGAGGTGGTGATGACCCTTGATTCCTATTTAAACATCTGTATTCCCTGCCATAACATCTTTTGCCACCTATAGCTAAAATGAAGTGTTGTCTTGGAGCCTATTGTACATTTAAGAATAAACTTTTGTTAAAAAAAAAAAAAAAATCATACAGTGGCTCATCATCTCTTTAGCTGTTTTTACTCAGCCATTCC